CTCTTCTCCCATTCAGTAGGTTGCCTTTTAGTTTTGTTGACTCTTTTCTTGGCTGTGCAGAAGATTTTTATTTTGATGTAGCATCAGTAGTTTATCTTTGCTTTTATGTCCCTTTGTCTCAGGATTTTAGTTCTTAAATAAAAAGTGTCTATATTTTAGGTGTGCAACATGATTCAATATAGACATATATAGTCAAATGATTAGTGCAGTCAGCTAATTAACATATCCCTCCTCACATAGTTAACATTGTTTTTTCGTACAATGAGAGCACCTAAAATCTACTCTTAGAAAATATCCAATATTCAATATAGTATTATATATATTATAATATATAATATATATTCAATATAGTATAATATAGTATTATAGTCATCATGCTGTACATTAGATCTTCAGACTTAGCAATCTTACATAACTCCATCTTTGTATCCTTTGAACAATATGTCTCTGATTTCCCACTTCTCCACCCCAGTAACTAGTGTTCTACTCTTTGCTTTCATGTATTTCACTCTTTTAAATTCTACTTATAAATGAGATGCAGGTTTCCTTTTCTGTGTCTGGCTCATTTCACTTAGTATAATGATGTGCTGGTTCATCCATGTTGTTGCAAACGGCAAAATCTGTTTCTTTTTTAAGACTGAATTACACACAAACACACACACACACACACACACACACACACACACACACACACTTTCTTTACCCATTCTTCTGTCAATAGAAGATTAGGTTGTTTCCCTACCTCGTAGATGTAACTGATTTTTCTTCGTGTATATAACCAGAATAGAGATTATTGGATCATACAGTATTCTTTTTTTACCTTTTTGATGAACCTCAAAAACCATTTTACATAATGGTTTTCATATTGTTTTCCATAATGGCTGCACAAATTCATATTCCTACCAAGAGTGACAAGAGTTCTCTTTTCTCCATATCCTCACTAACACTTTTTATCTTTTATTTTTTTTTGTAAAAGCCATCCTACAAGGTGGGAGGTGATATCTCATTGTGGTTATGATATGAATTTCCCTAATGATTAGTGCTGTTGAGGTTCTTTTCATGTATTTGATGGCTATTTTTTTTTTTTTTGGTCTCTTTTGGAAAAATGTCTATTTGGGCCCTTTGCCCATTTTTAATGAGTTGTTTCTTGTTTTGCTATTGAGTTGAATGAGTACCTTATATATTTTGGATATTAGCCCCTTATCAGATATATGACTTAAAAATATTTTCTCCCAATGTACAGCTTGCCTTTACATTTTGTTGTTTCTTTCCTTCGTTATACAGAAGTTTTTTAGTTTGATATAGTACACTTGTTTGTTTTTGCTTTTGTTGTCCAAGCTTTGGTGTCATATCTAAAAACAGTGCAAAAGCCAATGTCAAGGAGCTTCTCCCCTATGTGTTCCTCTAGGAGTTTTATACTTTCAGGTCTTGTGTTTAAGTTTTTACCCTATTTTGAAGAGACTTTTGTGTATGCTGTAAGATAATTTCATTCTTCTGCAAATTGATATCTAGTTTTCCAACACCATTTATTGAAGAGTCTATCCTTTTCCATGTGTATTCTTGGGACCCTTGTAAAAACTAGTTGGCCATATATGCTTGAGTTTGTTTCTGGGCTCTCTATTCTGTTCTGTTGATCTATGTGTCTGAATGTATGCCAGTACCATACTGTTTTGATTACTACAGCTTTGTAGTATAGTGAGAAGTCAGGAAGTGTGATGCCTCCAACTCTGTTCTCTCTCAAGATTGCTTTGGCTATATGGTATCTTTTGTGATGATAAATTTTAGGATTGTTTTTCTATTTTTGTGAAAAAATGCCATTGGAATTTTGATAGGGACTATACTAAATCTGCATATCATTTTGAGCAGCATGGAAAATTTAACAGTATGAATTTTTCCAATCCATGAGCATCAGATGTCTATTTGTTTGTGTCTCCTTCAAATTCTTTCATCAATGTTTTTGGTTTTCAGTGTATGGGTCTTTTACCTCCTCACTTAAATTTATTCTTAAGTATTTTAGTCCTTTTGATGCTATTATAAATGGGACTGTTTTCTTGATTTCCTTTTTGGATAGATCATTGTTGGTCTCATTGAATTTCTTTTAAAAGCTGAATTTTAATGGATAAAACAGAACAGAATTTTCAAATGGAGCTCTTTGTACTTTTATTTTAGATGAGGTTCCAAAGGCTAAGAATGATATTATAGGGCAAGTCATCCTCACTTCTAAAGCAGAATTCTAGACCACCTATGAAGGGCATGTGGGGTGGGTTCCATTAACTCTGGCCCATCGTCACTCAACCTCAAGACTATGTAGGGGGCAAGAACCCCAAGTGAGGATTTTTTAAAAGAGAGTTATCAGGGTGCTTTGAGTCAGGTCCCCTCTCATGGAGGGACTTGCCTTAGCCCAAGTGAAATGTGGTTTCAAGAGAACCACTCAGAGTTATTGGCTTATGTGTCCTGGCATTTGGGATGAAGAGAACTAGTGCCTGACTTAAGCTATGTTGGGAACCTATGCTTGACTAGAGGAGTTGAATGGCCATATTGCAGAAGAAAAGCACTTCCCCCCAAATAGGAGGCCAAGGTGCATGTTTTCCCATGCAAAACAGGGTGCCATGAAAAGACATCTCACCCAGGAAGAATATCTACAGGAACAAAAAACTCCTAAGAGGACAGAACTCTGGAAGCTTATAAGCTGTAGGGGGATAATAGAAGACTGGAGGAGAGGCATGGCCTCCATCAAGGGGACAATAGCTACAGGCCAGTCACAGACTTCTGAGAAATCTGCCAGAGTGCCCCATGAGGTCAAGATGGCACATTTTTATTCACCCCATCTAGAGGGCACTTAGGTCAGATTACAGTCAGCCTGATAAGGAAGGTCTTTTCTTACCTACCTCTCTCCTCTCTTCCACATGATATGACCCCAAAAGAGAAGTCCAAACCAATAAACAGGGGTGCAGGAGAGGATTGAGCCAGGAAATCACAGACATTTCTTCCACCCCAACCCCCACAGACCTGAAGCACACAACCTTCCATCCCCAGCTTCTGCAGCTGAGGTACACCCATATGTGGTTGGTAGGAGAGGGGGGGAAAGTTCTGGATCAAATTAATTTTTTGCAAGTTTTGACATTACATTTGACAAGCCTTTTTAATTATTGACACAAGTCCATTCTTGAATCTGAAAGGGACCAGACAACATTTATTATATGAAAATCACCAGGAAAAGCCTATAGAGGCTAAGGAGAAATTATTCAAGAGAGCTCATCTGGAGTTAATAATGGGGAAAAGAAAATTCTTTTTTTTTTTTTTTTTTTTTTTGCTAATGTACTCAGTTCAGCTCATTTATTCAACTAAACATAAAGGCAAAAGTTATTTGTACGTTCAGGTTGCTGCTGTCAGAGTGATCTGGTTTGTCAAGCTCAATTGTTCAAGACTTTGCCTTATTCCCATGTAAAACTGAACCTGGAATTTAATTTATTTCTTCAAATAGTAATATTTTTACTTGACCTTCCACCTATTGACATACTGTCTACCCACATAGCCACCCAGCTTCCTTGGCAAATGTGTAAATTGTATTCCATTGATTCACCTGCAGCTCAAAGAACCTCTAAACCCATAATGACATTAGCTGGAGCGCCGCACTTAAAAGAATATAGGCCGTCAACTACATCTAAACACATCTGCGCCGGTTCACCAATCCCTGATGTCAGGATTAGAGGGATATTGACCTTCAGACCAGCATAAAGGAAATATATGGTGTGAAATCTTGATCTCTGCCCAAGACTGTTTGCCCAGGGGAGGCAGATTATTTGAGGAACATGTGCTCACTGAATGGCTAAGGCAATGTGTATTGCCGGATTACTGGTCTGGAAAGGATTTTCAGGACCACTCCCACACCCCCGGGGGGAAAGGACAGTAAGCAGGACAGAGTTCATTACATGCTGTGTGGTGTGTTTACAGACACTCAGTACTTTATGAAATGAATGCAAGAATAGGCCGGCCAATAGCTTTTTTTCTACAGCTACCTTGTTCCAAAGAGTGAAGACTGGATAAGCAATACTCGATACTTCTGCTCCCCCCTGTGATTTACATTTGACAATCTTGTCCAATGGGGTATATTCCAGTGTAACCCCCCAGCCATTCTGACATGATTTCTCATAAATCAGTTTTGTTGCTTCCCCTAGGCAGCTGCTTCCTTTAGTCTGTACCCCTCAGTGTCTGATCCCCACCTACTGAGCACTAAGTGTCCTTCCTTGTAGAGCTAGCCAATGGTTAGGGTCAGACTGGACCTGATATTTTATCTGAAGTGTTCAGGAGTAGAAAGAATCTAGACTGTGGAGATTAGCTAAAGCTTCAGAGAAGGCTAAATATCAAAACCAACACCATCAGGTCCAAGGGTTCATATGCAGACAAAAATCTGAGGCAGAGCCCAAAGGCCTGTGGCCTGGTAGACAATGAAATGGGAAAGTAGGCAAGTTGGTCGTGCTAGAAATGCGAGCTCTGTGTAACTGGGGTCCTGCTTGTCTTGTTCGTTGTTGTATCCCAGCACCTCTTAAGTTCCTGGCACCTTTTAGGCACTCAATGTGTATTTGTTGAATGAATAAATGTCTTGGATGATTGCCACCATCGGGGCTGGCATTTTTGAGGCCTGTTCTTTTAGTCACACACCCTGAAGCCAATTCAAAGCCAGAGTTCAAAGGCATAGGGCCCTACTCAGAGCAACGGGAGCGCCTGAGTTAAGTACTGCCTCACCTGAGACTGGTCAGGTGTCTCCGATTGTTCCACCCCATCAGGTTGCCTTGTATCCCCATTTAGCTTGTCAGTGTCATGTCTTTTCCTAGGACAGTGCTGCAGATGCAGCTGGGACTCAGAAAACACCCATCCGTTCAGGCTGAATTGTGCTGGGCTCCTTGGGTAACTCCTGCAGTTTGTTACGAGGCTCTCCTTCTCTAGTCAAAGAACATTGTTTGCATTATCTTACATTCATTAAAAAAATATCCTTAAGCTGAGGAAGAAAAAAAATACAAACTGGATGTTTGCAGCAAGACATGTAGCTTAATAATTAGGACTGAATTATACAGTGCATTCCATAGTAGAATTTGGAATGAAACCACAGCCTTTTGAAGCTGGTCTCCAAGACATGTTCCATCGTGTTTCCGTTCTTAAAAGAACACAAAGGGTGAATCCTTTTAGCTTCTGAGACATAAGGCAGCCAGTCATCATGTGATTTCACAATGACCCTCCAGATTACCAAGACAAAATTTGGATTTTTCAGTTGTAATTCAGTGTTTCTTCTAAGAAAATAAGTTTTGTTTAGCCTAAAAGAGCCACTGATTTAACATTTTTTGACATTTTAGACTGAAAATTGTTCCAAACTTAATATGTTACTCTTTTGACAGAGGTCCAGATTTTATAAAGTGAGAAACAGCTATTTTCATACCCGAGCCTTGATACTAAAATGGTTTCTCAATCTCAGCACCACTGACATTTTGGACCAGATAATTCTTTGTTGTGGAGGCCGTCCTGTCCTGTGCTATATAACATGTGGCATTCTTGGCTTTGGCAGGTGGCACCCTCCCCGCCAATTGTGGCAAACAAAAATGTCCCCAGACACTGCCAAATGTCCCTGGGAGAGGGGGTGGCCAAGTTTCCCTGCTGGGAACCACTGATCTACAAAAGTCCTGTGGTTCAGTGTGGTAGGATCTTATTTTAAGGAGCTCTTGTGACTCTCCAGAAATTTCCCAACCATATCACTTTAGCATGAGAGTAGATCAGATTTTCTTCCTGCTTTTTAATGAGTATGTTCATTTGACTGTATTCTCTTTCCCTGTCTAATACTAGAGCTATTTTATATTGCAGCCTCTTTAAGGTAACAAATGTTCTTTTTCTTTCCTTGAATTTCTTCACAGAAATAAGAATGGTATTTGGTTTGATGGATGCATTTAATGTATATCAACTAACCCTGTGGAAAACTCGGTATGAGAAATTCATTTCTGCTTTCAGCTGGTAGAAGGTTAGTATCATAAGGGGCATAATTGTTTTCTTTTTTGGTCACTGTCAGATTCTCAGTACCTGGAAGAATACCTGGTATGTAGTCATGGCTTAATAAATATTTGGTAAATTAATTGTCACTTCTTTTCTAAAAAATATTTACTGGGCTCCCAGTCCCATTTTCTAAGGGATAACACAGAATTCTTGGGCTGGGGCTTAACACTTTCTTTATTCTGCATTTTCTAATCTTCTTCTTTGCTTCTCTGCTACATAATCCCATCCTCTGACCCAAACTTATCTCCTAATATTTTCTCAAATTCCCACAAACATTCTTGCCAATGCACAAATTACTCACTTTGTTCTTTTTGCTTAGAATTTTTTTCAAGCTTTCAACTGAGTCAAATAAATGCAACACATACTTAAAAGGTCAGTCATCTTATTTCCTCTCTTTGGTAACATTTCCTGGCTCCAAGAACCCACAGGGACATCTTCTTACTCAAAGTCTAAAATTTGCTGGTCTGTACCTCTCCCTGAGTATTTTAATTCTGTAAGATGCAGCACCTTTCACTATACTATTTTTGAATTATCATTTTTGTTGGCAGATATAATCTCTTTCCAAGTACACTGCAACCATTTTGAAGGCAGAAATAAATTATCATCTCTTGTTAAAGACATCATAAAGTATATTAAATGATGTTTATATAGTGAAGGAGCAGTATTCTCCTTAATTCTCTTATTCAACTAGTACTTTTTTCCCCTCATTTTTAAAATTTAATTTCTTTTCAGTGTAACAGAATTCATTGTTTATGCACCACAGCCAGTGCTCCATTCAACTAGTACTTTTGTGCATCTACTCCATGCTGGGTATATGTCCCCTGTCCTCACAAAGTGTTCAGGCCAATTGGAGAAACCCTGGTATCGAATGTGGCAAGAACTAGATTTGAGTCCAAAGACTCTGGTGTGAATACTAACTTTGCCACTTACTAGTGGTGTGGTTGTCTCAGTGACTTCATCTCAATGACTTCATCTGGAAAATGGGGATGATAATGCTTGCTCTGTCTACCTCCCATAATAAAGATCAAGCTGTATTGCATTTTATGTGCAAATATTTTCTAAATGACAGGATATAGTGGTTTTAATTCATCCACAGTTTCTTTAATACTCTTCCCTTCAAGAAGTGGAGCCTAATTCTCCTCTTGAGTCTGAGCTGGACTTAGTGACTCGCTTCTAATAAAGCAAAATGATGCGTGCAATAAAACGGCAGTGTCTTGGTTACTCTGTTTCTTGAATTCCTTGGTCTGAGCAAGGGCAGCTGTTCCAATGTAAGAAGCTTTCTGGAGAGGCCCATATGGTGAGGGACAAAGGCCTCCTGACAACATGCTCAAACTTGGAAGCAGAACTCTCAGCCCCAGTCAAGCCTTCAGATAACTGAAGCCACAACCAACCCCATTTGACTCTAACCTCATGAAAAGACCTGAACCATACCATCCAGCTCAGCTGCTCCTGGCTTTCTGACCCCAAAATCATGTAAGACAATATATGTTTTAAAAGTTGCTAATGTTGGAGATAATTGATTAGGGAGAGCTGGGTAACTGGATAATATGTAGAGTACTAAAGAAATTTAAGGTATTGTTTTTGACTATGCAAATATTTGTTGAATTAAGGATAACATAATCTACTGAGGTTTATTGCTGAATGAAGAGTTAGGAGTGGAAGAAAAAGCAGCTTCCAATAAAAATTGCAAAACATTAAGTACTAGGAGAAATCAGATGAATGTAAAATTTCTGCTGGGTGATCTGCAGACATTTCCCACCCTGCCACATACTTCATTTTCTGAGAGGTATCAACCTGTGACAGTGACTGCAGGCTATGTGCCAAAGGGTACAGGCTGAAAGAATTGTTCATTTCTCCTGACTGCTTTTGTTTTATTTCATTTCCCGTTCTCATTTTGAGCTAAAATTGATAGTTTTAACTAAATAAGAAACGAGAACTGTACTTCTCCTTTGTACAGGATATATATATATACTAAAGAAAGTAACCATGGTTCTTTGTTAAACACAAAGGCTATAGGTGTGGGAATTTATGATTTGTTTGCATCCGTGCGACCTTCTGAAAGTCACTGCTCTCCCTTTGCCAGAGTAACACTGACCCAGCCTGGCCCCCATTATTAATAATGCCATTGGGAGGCTGAATTCACAGTCCTCACCAGTCAACTTTGTCAAAATTAATATGAACTGGAACAAATTTAAATTTAAAACTATCTAACTACATCTGGTCCACAGGATGCCCATTTATAACCAATTTCTTAAACACCCCACTGAGAACACAGTTGTGGAGAAGACTGTCAATTTATTAACCTATTTAATAATAAATACAGAATTTAAATTTCTTACTGCATATTTATTGACCCTAATTTTGCCAGGGTTTCAAGTGAAGGGCTTTGGAAGCTATGTTAACTCTTTAAAGCTGTAAGAATAGTACTTAATATATTTGCCTAAAATGTTATAGGTAATAAAAGAATGTGAACCATACAAATTTTCTGAAAATGTTTTCTTTATCAATCTGCTTGGTTAAAAGATTGATAACTTATGGAAAATAAAACAGGGTAGTCACTCGTTGAAGATGACATGCTACTATATATAAAAAATCCTAAAGACACCACCAAAAAACCACTAGAAGTAATAAATGAATTCAATAAAGTTGCAGGATACTGAATTAATACCCAGAAATCAGTAGCTTTTCTATATACTACTAAGGAAGTCTCAAAAAGAGGAATTAAGAAACAATTCTGTTTATAATTGCACCAGAAATAAAAAACAAAAACAGAAAAACCTTAAGAATAAACTTAACCTAAGAGGTGGAAGACCTGTATTCTGAAAACTATAAAATACTGATGAAACAAACTGAAGATGACACAAATAAATGGAAAGCATCCTACGCATATTGATCAGAAGAATTAATAGTGTTAAAATATCCATACTACTCAATTCAGTTTATAGATTCAGTACAATACCTATCAAAATACCAACATCATTTTTCACAGAACTAAAAGAAATAATACTAAAATTTTCATGCAACCACAAAAGACCCCAAAATAGCCCAAAACAATCTTAAGAACAAAGCTGGAAGTATCACAATTCCAGATTTTAAGATATACTACAAAGCTATAGTAATCAAAACAGTATGATACTGACACAAAAACAGACACACAGGGATGCTTGGGTGGCTCAGTGTGTTAAGCCTCTGCCTTCAGCTCAGGTCCTGATCCCAGGGTCCTGGGATCTAGCCCCACAAGGGGCTCTCTGCTCAGCAGGGAACCTGCTTCCCCGTCTTTCTCTGCCTGACTCTCTGCCTACTTGTGATCTCTCTCTGTCAAACAAATAAATAAAATCTTAAAAAAAAAACACCAACACACAGATTGTGGAACAAAATAGAAAGCTCAGAAATAAATCCATGCTTATATGGTCAATTAATCTATGACAAAGAAGGCAAGAATGTACAATGGGAAAAAAAAAACTCTTCAAGAAATAGTGCTGGGAAAACTGGAGAGCTACATGTGAAAGAGTGAAACTGAACTATTTTCAAACACCATACACAAAAATAAACTCAAAATGAATTGAAGACCTAAATGTGAGACCTAAAACCATAAAAACCCTAGAAGACTACATGAAAATAAAAAGCTTTTGCACAACAAAGGAAACTATCAATAAAACAAAAAGTCAACCTACCAAAAGGGAGAAGATATCTGCAGAAGATATATATGCAAATGATATATCCAATAAGAGGCTAATAGCCAAAATATTTAAAGAACTTATAAAACTCAACACCCCCAAAATAAAAATCCAATAAAAAAATCAACAGAAGACATGAACAGACATTTCTCCAAAGAAGGCATCCAGGTGGCTAAGAGATGTATGGAAAGATGCTCAACACCTTACACTCAACAGAATGGCTAAAATCAAAAACACAAGAAGCAGTAAATGTTGGCAAGGATGTGGAGCAAAAGGAACCCTCATGTACTGTTGGTGGGAACGCAACTGGTGCAGCCGCCTTGGAAAACAGTATGGAGGTTCCTCAGAAATTTAAAAAGAGAACCACCCTATGATCCAATAATTGTGCTACTGGGTATTTACCAAAAAACCCCACAAAAAACACTAATTCAAAGGGATACATGTTGGCAGTGTTATTTATAATAGTCAAACTATGGAAGCAGCCAAATTTCCATTTATCCAGATGAATGGATAAAGATGTGATATCTATTACTATATCTATATCTATATTTGTATCTATACAATGGAATGTTATTCAGTCATAACAAAGAATGAAATCTTGCCATTTGCAACAACATGGACACAGCTAAAGAGTACAATGCTGAGCACAATAAGTCAGAGAAAGACAAATACTATATGATCTCACTCATGTGGAATTTAAGAGACAAAACAAATGAGCAGAGAGAAAAAGAAAGAGAGAGAGAGAAATTAAGAAACAGACTCTTAATTATAGAGAAAAACTAATGTTACCAGAGGGGCGGGGGTGGGGGTATGGGTGAAATAGGTGATGAGGGTTAAGGAGTGCACTTGTCATGATGAGAAGATGATCACCAGATTATGTATGGAATTGTTGAATGACTGTATTGTACACCTAAAATTAATATAACACTATATGTTAACTAACTGGAACTAAAATAAAACATAAAAAATAAAATAAAGAACTTATACAATTCAATACCAAAAAACCAAACAATCCAATTTAAAAAAATGGGCAGAGAACCTGCAAATATGAAAATTTCATATTTTTTTCTACAGAAGACATACAGGAAAATGCAAATCAAAACCACACTGAGGGGTGCCTGGGTGGCTCAGTGGGTTAAGCCTCTGCCTTCAGCTCAGGTCATGATCTCAGGGTCCTGGGATCAAGCCCCACATTGGGCTCTCTGCTCAGCAGGGATCCTGCTTCTCTCTTTTTCTCTTCCTGCCTCTCTGCCTCCTTGTGATCTCTCTCTGTCAAATAAATAAATAAAATCTTAAAAAAAAAAAACACACTGAGATATCACCTTATCCCTGTCAGAATGGCAAAATCAAAAAGACAAGAAATAACAAATGCCAGAGAAGATATGGAGAAAAAAGAACCTTCGTGAGAATACAGCTACTATGGAAAAATAGGATGAAGAAAAAAATAAAAAGTGAAGGACCATATAATCCAATAACTTCACCACTGGGTATTTACCCAAAGAAAATGAAAACATGAATTTGGAAAGATATACGATAGGCACCCGTATGTTTAATACAACATTATTTACAATAGCCAAGATATGGAAGCCACCCAAGGGTCTACTCAATAGAGGAGTGGATAAGGAAGATGGACTATTATGTATCCTTAAAAAAGGATGAGTTTGTGCTATTTGCGACAACATGGATAGAGCTTATGGCTATTACGCTACATGAAATGAGTCAGACAGGGAAAGATAAATACCATATGATTTCACTTACATGTGGACTCTAAAAATAAACACAAATAAATAAACAACCAGGACAAATCAGACCTATAAATACAGAGAACAAACTTATGGTTGCCAAAGGTGGAGGGGGTTGGAATGGGCAGAACTGGTGAAGGCGAGTAGGACATACAGGGTTCTAGTTATAGAAGAAGTAGGTCATGGGATGAAGGGCACAGCATAGGGAATATAGTCAGTGTTGTATTTTAACAGTGTTGTATGGTGACAAGTGGCTACCATTGTGCTGAGCACATCATAACAGGAGCTGAATCACTATGTTTAGAAACTAATATAACATTGTGTGTCAACTACACTCAAATAAAAAAAAAGAATTTAAAAAAAAAGAAAGTAAAACTGAAAACATTCTTACTTGTAGGAGACATGCTGTTGACTGGAGAAGGTTGGGTGCCAACGGCTGATGTGACAACATCAAGCAGAGGACCTATGGAAGGGTTCACTGAGCCTGAAAGGATGAAATGAATAATGATGATGAACAAAATATTGTAATAGAAAGATGATGTGTTGACCTAATTTTCCCCACAACTTTATCCATTTATCTCAGAAATCGTTACTGAAGGTCTGTTACATTAAGGCTGTGGACATGGTGGTGGAGGACACCAGACCCTAGGTAACAGGCAGGGAGCCAGGCATTGTGTTGAGTGTAGGGCACCACGGGGTTGCAAAGAAAGGGCACCGGCTGAGATTGGGAAGTCAGGAGAAGCTTCCTGGAGAAAATAACATTTAACCAAGCACTGGTAGAACAACTATAGCAGCTAATATTTCAAAGTATTTGCAAAGTAATCATACAATCTACAAATCTGCAAGCCTGTAAAATTTTATTGGCAAGAGTAGAAACAATGATGTAACTATCCAACTGGAAGTAACATCAATGAGCCTAAGATTAATGGTATTATTACTGCCATTTCTAAAATGCCTGTTTTTGTCAGAAAATTTTTATCTGGTTATAACTTTTCTCTGTGTGTGGGGGGGGCAGGTAGGGATGAAAGGGAGGCTAGAATATATTGTTTTATCATATAATACATTTATATCGGTTCCTTAAAGCTCCCACTATTCAACTGTAAAATAGTCCTACTAGCAGTATAAAACAAAATGCCAGAAGGATCTATTGACTTTAGGAAGGTCAAGGTTAAATATGGTTAAATGATTTTGAGGCAAGGGAATTTTGCAACTTTCTAGATATAATGACATGGGGTAGAGTGTCACACATCTAATGAGCTGTGTCAATTACTTGCACATTTAATTATAAATTATACTATTGGTTCTGTTCTCTAATTTATTTTAAGAGAAAAGAATATATTCTATAAATTGTGTCACCTGATAGCACATAGTACATTGGAAGGGATCTATGTTTTGTAATCAAGATGTATCTGTGTTTTATTTTCAGTGTTGGTAGTGTTGTTGCTGTTGGCTGTAGGTGATGCTTACAGCTGGCTCTGACTTGTTATCATATAAATGATCCCTTGCTATTAAGCTCTGAGGAGGTAGGTATGGGATGGGTACAAAGTTACCTGAGAGCATACAAATAGGCTAGTGGAATCTTCTTCCACCCATCCCATCTGAAACATATTTGAACACTTCAGCATGATATTCAAATCTGATCATTATTTTCCTCCCCCCATCCCATTCCCCACTTCATTTCCTGATGCTGCCTATCATCTTTTACATCTCAAATCATCCACTCAATCCAAAGGGTAATATTTCAACCTGATCTCCATGGATTCTTGCTTTGTGTGCATGCTGTTTCCTTATACTTTCCCATTGCAAACAGCCTGGTATGCACCATATGAAACTTGAAGAATCCCAGGGATCTTTGTGATGTGCTCAGAGTCCTAATGTTTAACTTAGCAGGGGCCTTAGTACTCTACATCATCAGTATACCCCTCAAGAGAAGTGACTGTGTTGCTCCTCATGGTATTTCTGGTTCCTGGCAAATGCAAGTGGATGAATGAATGCATATGGATTCCTTCTAAACGTTGAAAGAGAGAAGACCAACTTTAAGTGCCTATCTGATGGCTGGTGCATAATAAGCGTCATCTGCCAAAGCAGTGACCTTAATAAGCATGGGCCTGGAAAAAGAATGCCTTGGTGTTTTGCTCTGTAGACTGACTGGAACAGAGGGTGGCAAACTATGGCCCACAAATCAAATTCCACCCACCGCCTGTGTTTGTAAATAAAGTTTCATAGGAACATAGCCATGTCCATTTGTTCATGTAATGTCTATGGCTGTTTTTGTACTACAATGGCAGAGCTGAGTAACTGCGATAGAGACCATATGGTCCACAAAGCATAAAATATTTACTATCAGGCAGATAAAAACAGAACATGTTTGCTGATTTCTGGAAAAGAAGATGTTGATAGGTTATGCTTAATCCTAGATTTCTGCAAAGGGAAACATTTATTTTTCATTTACTATTTCTATTTTAAGATATTATTCTGCCATATTTAACACCACATGGCTTTGTAATCTGAGGGGTTCTCAGCACACATATCCTTACAGTGTATTAGGAAGTTGCCACTGCAAGATTTGTATTTAAAGATGAACTCTTTGCCCTGTAACAAAAAATGATGCATGGCTTTCGACATGAAACCTGCAGCCAGAAAAAAAAAAAAAAAAGTCCTTCTGGTTTCAGATTGTCTTGTAAAGTAGAAACTCTGCCTTGGTCAAAACAAAACTCAGAGGGTGTAGAAAGAAGTGGCTAAAACCTAACAGGAAATTAAAAAAAAACAAAAACAAAAAACAACAAAACTATTTCCCAAAAGTCAAAAGCAGAATTTAGCAGAAGTCAGTCAGTTTTCAGACCATCACATTTGGCATCCGGTTCTAAGGGATTAAGCTGCTGGCCTAAAGCAACTTCATCTGCTCCTGAGTGTGTCTCCTCTGCAGCAGGCCTGGCAGGACGCTCAGGACCACCCTCATGGGTAGCAGTGGCCAGGTGTCTGTCTGTCCCACAGGGCAGCTGGTCAGTTCTAGGGCTTCCTCAGAGCTTGGATCAGCCCTTAGCTGGTCCACCTAGAAATGAACCAAACTTCAGATCTTGCTAGATCCTTGCTTGTCAAAATGTAGTCCATGGCTTCTCTTAGGAGAGTATTTAGAAACGTAGAATCTCAGGCCCTCCCCCTCCAGCTCAACTTAGTGAATCAGAATCTTCTTTTTAACAAGATTCTTGGGTGATTTCTGTGCATATTAAAGTCCTTAACTGATACCCTTAGGATCCCTAGGATCAGACAGGGTATGAGAAAAATCATGAAATAGGAAGGGTTTGGCATATTCTGCCTCAATATTCAGTTGTTCTCTTGCCCCACTATTGAGATATCCCTTTCTGATCCTTTCTCCATATTCCAAAATACACATGCACCCTCAAACACACATGACTCATCAACCTCTAAATCTCTCTCTATCCCAAATGGAAAGCCATTTAATGATGAATAACAGCTGATGACAGCGAGGACATTACCCACCCCAGGGGGTATTTGCACTCAACTTTTGTTTTAAAATTTAAAAAAAAAAATCACCTCCACCTCAAAACACAACAAAATAAGACAAGGCAACTCTGTATATGCCAAAAAAGTTGACCCAACAGTGCTACAACTTTAGACATTCTGGTAAGCCAGGCTTGCAGTGAAGCAAGCTACCTTGGCCCCTCCTGTTAACCTAGTAGTCTTTGAACTTCAGCAAATGCCCTTAGGCCATGTGATTGATTAACTTTCCTTTGAATAGCTATAGATCTTGCATTCATTCTTTCCTAGAAAGAACAGAGCACTTCTATACCTCCTGAAACAGAAAGCAGATCCCCTTGCACAACCCTCCAGCACTGAGATAAGGTCTCTAGCTGGGACCACCAAGTCTGCATATCATCAAGAAATGTTACAGAGCACGACATTCCCTTACCAACTAACTGCCCTGGACCCTTTTAAAAACTCCCAGGCTAGCGAGAAAGCCTTTGGACAAGAGTCCACCTTCTCCCCAGGTGGCCAGTCTCTTGAATAAAGCTCATATTCCTTTCTAGTCAAAACTCCTTTTTTTTTTTTTTTTTTTTTTTAAGATTTTATGTATTTGTTAGAGCCCACAGGCAGGGGGAGCGGCATGCAGAGAAGAGGGAGAAGCAGGTTCTCTGCTGAGCAAGGAGCCTGATGTGGGGACTCCATCGAGCACCCTGGGATTGATTATGATTTGAGCCAAAGGCAACTGCTTAATGGACTGAGCCACCCGCCAACCCCAAACTCTCTTTTGAGTATTGGCCTATTGAGCAAGGGGCAGCCAAACTTGGGGTTTGGTAACAGCAGGGTAGGATATTTTGGAAAGAATCTTAAAAAAAAATGTATTTATTGTTGAGTCACAGGAATCTGCAGGCCCTGGTACTCCATGGCTGCTTCATGAGCCACTGATCACCCGACCCTGACGCCTCCCCTTTTCCGAGTTTACTAGAATAAGAATCACTGAGCATTTGAACTTCCTGGGAGACCGTGAGGTAGGTGGGGAAGGGACTGTCTCTGGTGACTGTTAGCTTGCAGGCTTCCAACTCTTCTTTGGGAACAAAGGGCAGCAAAAGCTCCTCTTCCCTTACTAAATCTCCTTTTTGCTCTGTAATATTCTCAGAATTTCTCCACTTTAGATTTTTGTCCTGTATTTTCATATCAATA